GGGGGGTTGCACCCTCGCACTTGCGTGTCCCGCACCTGTGTGCGTGCATGTGCATCATCCCTGTCCTCCCGAATACATCAGCACCCCGAAAGCGGCGTGCCTGGGGCTGCACCCCCCCGCAGCGCGCTGCACGCGTGTCCTGCACCTGTGCGCGTGGGCTGCGCCACCCCTGCCCCCCGAACACCTGAGCACCCCACACCTGTGTGCATCGTCCTTGCTCCTCCAACACACGAGCAGCTCACACTTGTGTGCAAACCCGCCCGCCCCGCACGCTGGTGTGCACCCCTGTGCATCCCACCCGCATCTGCGTGCAAGTGCCCACGTCTCCTTTTTTGCGCGCGTCTGGCTGCGCGTCCCGGCCCCTCGGCCGGAGGGAACGCGCACAAACAGCCTCTCACACCCGTGTGCACACACCTCACCTCAACACACACAGCTCACACCCGTGTGCACACACCTCACCTCAACACACACAGCTCACACCCGTGTGCACACACCTCACCTCAACACACACAGCTCACACCCGTGTGCACACACCTCACCTCAACACACACAGCTCACACCCGTGTGCACACACCTCACCTCAACACACACAGCTCACACCCGTGTGCACACACCTCACCTCAACACACACAGCTCACACCCGTGTGCACACACCTCACCTCAACACACACAGCTCACACCCGTGTGCACACACCTCACCTCAACACACACAGCTCACACCCGTGTGCACACACCTCACCTCAACACACACAGCTCACACCCGTGTGCACACACCTCACCTCAACACACACAGCTCACACCCGTGTGCACACACCTCACCTCAACACACACAGCTCACACCCGTGTGCACACACCTCACCTCAACACACACAGCTCACACCCGTGTGCACACACCTCACCTCAACACACACAGCTCACACCCGTGTGCACACACCTCACCTCAACACACACAGCTCACACCCGTGTGCACACACCTCACCTCAACACACACAGCTCACACCCGTGTGCACACACCTCACCTCAACACACACAGCTCACACCCGTGTGCACACACCTCACCTCAACACACACAGCTCACACCCGTGTGCACACACCTCACCTCAACACACACAGCTCACACCCGTGTGCACACACCTCACCTCAACACACACAGCTCACACCCGTGTGCACACACCTCACCTCAACACACACAGCTCACACCCGTGTGCACACATCGGAAGCGCGGCCGCACGGCGGGCACTGAGGAGATAAATTAACACCCCCCACGCTGCACCGCAGGGGGGGTTATTAATTACGGGCACTTGCAGACAGCAGAGAAAGGAGCCTGAATGAGAACCATGTGCCCGTGGCTTCAAAAAGGCATGAAAACTTAGGCGCTTCGCTGGCCTTGTTGCCAAACCCTTGGAAGAAAACACCTTCTCCTGGAGCCTTCAGGGGGGGCTCCAAGCCACAGAGGTTATTCTACCCGACCCCCCCCGGCCCAGTTAGTGAGTGTGTAATCCTAAGAGCGCAGGCTGCACCGCTCTGCAGCACACCCATCTTGGACCACCTCCCTCCTGCAGGAGCAGAACGTGGCAGTGTTCCTCCATCCCAGGCGAGTGCCCCAAACCCCTCCAAGTTTCTGGAGACAGATTTTTAAATCTCGCCCTGAGGATGGAGCCATGAGGCAGAGCTGAGGACCGCACAGAGGGGCAGCACCGAGAAGAGATGAGATGGCAGGAGCAGCCCCCTGGCTGGGGCTGTGGTCAGAGATGGGGCAGCCGTGGGGCTCCCTGCCGTGGCAGTAAATCCATGAGCATCAGGGGTCACTGTGCACCTGAGAGATGATCAGCGAGGTGGGGAGGTGTGGGCAGTGATGGTGGGATGAGTCACATCAGGCTGCTGAGAAGCTGCAGAAAACACAAGACCCTAGGACTTCCTGGAGAGGCTGAGTATGAGAAGAGCAGAGGGTCTAACCTGGGGTTTAGGGGATCATCTGGTACCCCAAAAATCAAGGGATTTTGGCATCCTCCATTCACGGGGCAGGCGCTGGTGGCCGGGACCGGCCCGTCCGTGCTGCCACCTAAAGGCAGGACGCCGGGGAGGGAGGGCTCGTCCCGCCACGACGGGGAATTTTCCATCACAAACACCGGGTGACTGTGGGACCGATGGGACCTTTCCATTGTTACCACCCTGGGAAACAAAAGGATCTTATTTTAAAATCTTGTCCCCTTTCCAGCACGTGGGGGGGACCCGAGGAAGCAAAGGCTTCCCCAAAGCACAGGACATGAGACCAAGACAGGAGCTGCTGGACACTATCCAGCCCCAGGCTCAGCTATGGGAAAGGGACAGTGAGGTGGCTCTGGAGACAACGACCAGGTAACCTGCAAGGAGAATACAGCCTGGTCCTGGGGGCAGGCGGCAAGAGCCAAAGAGGCCAGATGCTGAAGCAGAGGGGGGTGCTTTGCCCCCACGATGCCAACTATCCCATCCCCTCCTGCCCAAACCCAGGGCCAGGACCGGCCAGTCACTGTGTTCACACCAGGGAAGTGCATTTTTCAGGCACTGTTTCCTCACCAGCCTAACACTGCTCACACAGCAGCTCAAAGCAGGGTTTCCCCCCATGTAGAAGCTGTCTTTTGTGTGTGCAGGGCAGGGGCCCTGCCTGTCCCTGCTGGCAGGGCCAGGCAAGGACATGGTACCCTGAGATGTGTCTCTGCTTGGGAACAGCCACGGCCACCGCAAACAGGCTGACAGGAGGAAGGATGTGCTTCCTCGGGAGCGTGCTCAGCCCGAGGATTTGCAACAAGTAGATTTTGCTGCTCTACAGCTTTGGCAAGGGGAAGGTGTAGGAGGTGGCAGCGGTGGCACTGGCCCCCGTGCTGCCACACCAGCCCCTGGCAGGCACTCGCTGCCTGCCCGTGCTGCCAGACCCACTGCTTTGGGAACAGCTCCTGCTGCCCATCTTGTTCATCTGCAGCTCAGGGCAGGTTGGATTTTAGCTCCACCCAGCACCCAGGGCTATGCAGGATCAGGGTAGTTCTGGCTTCTGCTTTGATGCTGGAGTAGACTTGAGTGGGGTAAGCATTGCAATTCCACCGACTCCAGCACTGCCATCCTCGCTCCCACCCATCAATCCCACCAGCCAGGCTCAGACTCATGCCAGCACCTCCTGCCTCAAGTCAACCCACTGACTCTGAGCAAAGCCAAGACAGCTGGGGACACAGCCAGCATCCCCCAGACACAAACCAGCCAAATCCACTCACCTTGCCCCCTGGGATCCCCAAGTCACCCTCCTGAAGGGGCAGCCCTGTGGCTGTGCAGAGCTGACAACCAACAAGCTGTGCTGGGAGCACCTGCTCCCCACGGGCTTTCCTGAACTTGGCCCGAAATGGGACTTCGCAGTTTTCATACACACAAGTCCTTAAAACCCAGCCAGGCCAGAAGAGACTGGATCTCATATCCCAAGAGCCTAAAGCTGGGGATGGGCTCAGTACAAACTTCCCCACCCCACAGAACTCTGAAACCCTCCATCTTGTTCCCAAACAGCACAACCTGGGGTGGGGGCAAACAAAAGAGCCACGGAGAGATGCTCTCTGAGGAACAGCCCAGGTGAGAGCAGCAGCTCCCATGCTGCAGGTGGAAGGAAGGAGCCCAGGCTGGGGGCTGCCCTGTGCCCTCAGGCTGTGCTACACCCCACAGTCGCTCCCCCTCGACCCCAACATGCAAGCCCAGCAGACTGGTCTAAGGAACTTTACTGGTGATAGAGTAGCAGCGAGGCAGCACCACAGTCCCCGGGCTGCAGTGGGTCCCATACAGAGCATGGAGCTCCCTCTGCTGCCAGCCTGGAGCCCTTCCCCACGCCAGAGCACTCCTTCCCCATGAAGGTCTTCAGAGGAAGCTCAGAGCTGTGACAAGGGGCACCCGATGGTGCTCCAGGAGCACCGCCTTCCTCCACAAGGTTTATGGGTGGGAGTATAAAAGGAGGGAAGGTGCAAGCAGCCTGCAGCCACCTTCACTGCAGCCCCGTGGCTGAGGTTACTGCACCACGCAATGCTCAGGCACAGAAGGCTGTTGTTTGAGGGCTGCCAGGCACCTCCAGGAATACAGTGTGGCACCCGCAGCCCATAGCACAGAGAAAAGAGAACAGACAGGAGCTGCGGAGAGACTCATGTCCCTCCTTCCTCCCAAAACTGAAACCAAACGAGCCCCTCCAACACCCACCAGGTCCACGTGTGCAGAACCGGCCTCCAGCACAGCCCCAGGCAGTGACCAGGAGCCAGGCTGGGGTCCCCAAAGCCCCCTGCTCCTCCTTGTCCCTCACAGGGAGAGGCGGCAGAGGTACATGGGCGCCACGTTTTCCCCCCCATCGCTGAAGCAGGTGCTGAAGAAGGGGCAGTATCTCTCTGCAGAGACCTGGTGGAAGGTGAAGAGATGGGACATGTCCCCTGCATCGAAGAAGGCAACAGTGCCCTCCTGGCAGTCCAGAAAGACCCCCACTTTCCGGGGAGGCCGACGGGGAGCCAGGCGCACCCCGGGGGTGGTGGTGGCCCAGTACTCTGTCCTGTTCCGCAGGCGCAGTGTCCAGTAGCCGTTCTCCGGGCACAGCTTGACCTTCGCCGCTCGGTCCACGTCCTCAGCAGCCACCCCCAGGTCCCACTTGGTTTTGGTGCCCACCCAGACCTCCCAGTAGTGCTTGCCATTGTCAAAGGTCTGTGAGCTCAGGACGTTGACGCACTGCAGGAAGCGCCGGGGGCTGCTGGGGACGGCGCAGGGTCGATTCCTCTCTGTCACCGCCGTCAGGTCCCTGGAGAAGACCAGGCTGGGGTGAGCTGATTCAGGATCGAAGGTGAGCGGGGTAGGAGCTGTGGAGACATCAAGCACAACACTCTACCGGCTGCACTCCCTCTGCAGAGCAGCCCCAGCCCCACCAGCACATCCCCCACGCCCAGCCCTGCGCTCACCGGGGCAGATGGAGCGCAGCATCTGTCTCCAGAAAATGTACTGCAAGGGGCCACCGTGGCTGTCCCTGTAGCGCTCCAGGTCGAAGGCAGGCTGGGTCTCCACACACACCGAGGGCCTAGGGCAGAGAGAGCTGCAGCTCACCCCTCTGCGGGGCCACCAGGGAGCCACAAGCCCTCAGGCCTGCAGAACACTATGGCCTGTGACAGGTCTTGGTCACAAAGCTCCTACTCCCCCTGAAGCGCTGCCACTGGCTCAGGGCTGTGGACAGACAGGTCTGGCAGCACCCAGCACAGCCAAGCAGGATTCCTGCAGGGGTGAGCAGGCCAGGCCTGTGGAGCTGGGCTGCACCTCACTGCAGCACCCGGGGTGGGAGGGGATAGGGACACCCTCCCTTCTAGCAGTTCTGCCCCTCAGTTACTTGTAGCCTCAAAGCTGCACCTTGGGGTCAGTTTTGCATCCCTGAAGCTGCAAAAGGGCACAGGGAGAAGTAAAGGCACCCAAAGCCTGTGGCACCAGCCTTGCTCCCCATCACAGCACGCATGGCTCCTGCACCCATTCCAAACCAGCACATCTCCTCCACTCACTCATCCAGCCCAGCTGTCTTGACATGCATGCTCCATGGGGACAGCATCCAGTATGTGCTGGGGACCAGCCCCCACCTAGCACAGCACCAGCAGCTCACTGAGCAATTTGTGATGCTTCTAAAATTTGAGATAAGATCTCTCCCCCATGTAGTCCCAGCCAGAGACAGAGATAAGCTCCTGAAATCAGATTCTTTCATGCCAGACACGTACCTGATATCCAGGCTCTCCACCTGCAGTGAGGAGAAAAGAGAATTAGCAGTCACTGTCTGTAATTCATGCAGCTGCACAAATAAGCTCCCTGTCCTACCTCCTGCTGTCACGAAGCACAGAGAGAGGAAACTAACTTGCCAGGACCCCCACCCTGGGGAAAACTGCCTGGCCACCAGGGCCAAGGCAATTTCACAAGGGTGACAGAAGAGGATGAAGGCTCCCAAGACCCACCCCATCCCAGAGATCACCATACCCCTTGTGGCTAAAGCTTCTATACTCCACAGGTTCAGATAGATATTCCAGAGGGATGGCAGCGAGACCAACATCTAGATACAGCCTAGTGCCATCATTTAGTACTCTTCCCCATCCCAAATTCAGATCCTGAAACATCCCACAGCCTCCTACCAGCCAAGCATGCTCACCTCCAGCAGTGACACCTCTTCCATCATGCTCAGGGCCTGCTCTATGCGCTCCATGTCCCTCTGCAGCACTGACATCCCCTCCTCCAGACGCTGCACGTCCCCGCGCAGCTGCACCAGCGACTGCTCTTCCTTTTTGCCCAGCTCTGCCAGCACAGCCCTCTCCACTTCCTCCAGGATCTGATGGAGGTGGGAAAACTCTGCCCGGATCTTCACATTCAGCTCCCCAGACACATTCTGCGCAGAGGGAAAAGGCAGAGTATGAGTCTGGCAGCTAAAACACACAAGCAGGTACACAGGCTGGCTTGGCCCATTACTCTGCTTACAGAGTCCTGGAAATCAGAGAGTCTCAGACATACTCATGGCTTTTGGGATGGAGAACAGGACACAAGAACAACTTTCAAGGCTGCAGAGCCAAAGGGGAAAAAAATACAACCCAAAACCTAAATCCTACCAATGGCTTGGTCACCTTAACTAGAAATCATTGCACACAGGCACAGTGGGAGCCTGCAGGCCTCTCCCACACTACCAGGAATTTGCTGGTATGCAACACTGGTGCTCTTCTGCTTTTCTGGACCTGCAGACTCAGCTGTTCAGGATTTATTTCACATCATGCCAGACCCTGGACAGAGCTGCCCAACACTGGTAACTTGCTCTTCTTTCTCTGGTGCCTCTGTCTCTCAGGGCTCCTGTTTGTATGGGAGAAATGGGGGAGCTGCACAAACTAATCTCTGTAGTTAAGGCTGATAAAACCCCATTCAGCTCTTTTCAGAGGTCACTTCTTTCCAGTTGTTTAGTCGGCCAGACAACCTTGTGGTGCTCACTGCCCTCCTGCCTGTTTACAAGAAGACAGCCAATGACTTCTTATTTTCTCAGTCTTTAAGCTTTTAATCTCTAAGTGCAACCTTAGCCCTCATTTTCTTGAGGAGCACTTCCTGACACACACATCCCTTTCTACCAGCAGGAAACCCATCTCCTCGAGTCCATTTGAAGCTTAACCAGCCCATATGGTGCCTCAGTCTCCCTTTGTCCTAGCAGGTGCTTGTGCTGGCACACCAGAACTGCAGAGGATGTGCATATGCTCCTCGTTTGGATCAGGATTTGCTCCTTTACTCTTGAAACACCACTTAGCTCTGCCACTGCAAAAGGACATCAGCTGCATGTGCTTATTTGCTAATACTTGTTAATTAGCCTCAAAGCTCTATACCAAATCTGGCAGTGGCACAGAGGTACAAAACAGTGCATACAGAGACTCTGGTCAGGAGGCAGTCTGCCAACAGTTTTATCTCACCTCTGAACTACTTCTATTTTCCTTAAACTCTCCCTCCTTGGCTTTGAATACTTTTACATCACTTGAGCAGAAAGCACAGTCAGTTTGTGGCTGTTGTTGCTTCATGGATCAGTGCCAAGCAGGCAGCCTGGTGCCACTCAAGCCCCGAGAGAGCACTCGGGCTCCTTCCATCACCTCAGAGTGAACCCAAACACGTCCTTATGACAAGGCCTCTGCTCTGCAGCACCAACATCACTGCGGACCCAGGTCCTTCAGCTTTGCTGCCAGCCCATCAGACACAGAAGAGGACTTTAGAGCTTCTAGGAATTAACCCTCTCCTGAATTGGCAGGGCCAGACCAGGCTGCTCAGCCAGCACCTCTCACCACTCACACCATTTCAGCTCTGCTGCACCAATGCACCTTGCCGATGCTGCCCTAACGAGCACTTAAGGCCTGTTCCCAAAGCCTCCCTGGAATACTCACTAGCCATGGGCCCTGGCAAACACCTGGGGGAGGTGCCTCAGGTCCCCAGGCAGTGACTTGTCCCAGTTTTTACAGGAAGCTGAGCTGTATCTCAGCAGCACTACACACCCCCCCCCCGGAACACGAGCTCAGGGCTGCACAGAACCAGCTGCCGAGGGCGTTACCGTCAGGCCTCCCATCGCCTCCTGCGCCGCGCGCTTCCTCCGAGCCAGGCTCTCCATCTCCTCCCGACGGGCCTGCAGAGCCTCCTCCAGGTGCTTCTGCAGGACCGAGGAAAAGAGGGTGAGGAGACCATTTCACTGCTCTGCTGTGATTCAGGAGCAATCCCAACTCCTGAGGCCAGCAATAGAGGGAGGCTGCAACAGGATTTCTTATCAAGGCAGTAAGGAGAACAAAGAGAATTACATATATGTGTGCACATAACTAAATATATTTAGTTTTAAGACTGGGAGCTCCAGCCTGGGATATTTTTTTTTCAGAAGGTTTAAGCCCCATGTGCTGTGAACTGATTTGTGCAGGGACTGGACCCCCTAGCAGCCCTCAGCCCTGGCTGTGTGATCCCTCCATGAGAAACCACCAGGCTGCAGACAGAAGTTGGGCACAGCAGTGAGGGAAACAAATGCAAGAACTGGAAGAGTCCAGGAGACAGGCAGCTGGAAGGGAGAAGTGAGAGGGAATGGATCAGAAAGAGACAGAAATGTCGCGGCACTCAGGAGAAATGACTGGGGAGAAGGGGCTGGTGGGCTCGGAGTGGCTGCACAGGGCTCACACGGTGCCTGTCCCCTTGTCCCCAGCCGGGCAGGAGCCACTGACCTGCATCTTGTGCCGGTGCTCCGCGGAGCCGCAGCGCCGCACCTTCTCCACCAGCCCCGCCAGCAGGTAGTGTGTGCGGAAGGCCCGGCCGGGGAACTCGCGGCGGCACTGGGGGCAGGAGGGGACGCGGTCACAGCTGTCCCAGTAGCCCTGGATGCAGGCCTTGCAGAAGTGGTGCATGCAGTCCAGCATGACGGGCTCGCTGAACAGGTCGCAGCAGATGACGCAGGTCAGCTCCTCCCGCAGGCTCCGGTCCTGGCTCCTGCCGGCCATCCCTGCTGGGCACAGGAAACACCTTTAAGGCCACCGAGTTCCAGCTGTAAACCTAACGCCGCCAAGCCCGCGCCCCCGAATGCCACATCCACACGCCCTGCAAACACCTCCGGGGACGGTGACTCAGACCC